GTTGCAAGGGATGGCTTGCAACCGAAACTCATTGACTTTCCAGCTGATCCTCGATCATGCCCTGGACTAAACAAGGCTTTTGATGGTCGTGAGCTCATGGGTTTCGAGCTAGCGGCTCACAAACCAGGGAAATGGTTGAGGGGAAGCTCCAAGCAATTGAAGGGGCCAAGTGAACCATCAATGGTCGCATCTGGAGGGTCCAATGATGTAGCATCGAACCCGTTCTTTTCCATGCTCTACAACTTCATGATGCATGGCCAGCAGCAGAACTCAGGTGCAAACCACAATGTGAATCTCAGGGTCTATCCCAAGAAGGTGAAAGCTCTTCAGGATGGTGCAATCACTGAGGCAGCGGGTAAGACTGAAGCGCCGGCCCAGACTGAGGCAGCGCCTGATACTGAAGAGCCGGCGCCCAAAGCTTTTGAGGTACCAGCTTTGCCTACCCTGCAGGATCCTGACAGCCAGGTGGACGAACACCTGGAGCGCATGAACCAAGCTTTTCAGGAGAGGCCAAAGGCTGAGCCAAAGGCAAAAGCCAAGGCCGGTGCCAAGGGTGCTGCCAAATCAAAGGCCAAAGCAAAAGCTAAGGCCAAGTCAAAGGCCAAAGCAAAAGCTTCAGCCAAGGCAGCATCCAAGAAAAGGCCATGTATGATTCCTCAAGGGGGTGCTACCTGCTACTATAGGCAGGGCAAGATCCATCGTTCTGATGCTGGCGAATGCTGGAGGGTGTTTCGTAAGAGTTCTGATCGTTGTGATCTCAAGGTGAACTGGAAAGGCAACCCTCAAATGGCCTGGCAGCGAGCGCTGGCTGTGATTGAGGAAGCTGAAAAGATGTGAGCTTCCAAGTAAGTTGGTTCGACATCATTTCTAGCACATATGACTAAAGCATGTTGGTTTGATATGTTTCCTTTATCTCTTAGTGAAGCCAGCTGGATGTTGCCATTGGCACCTTTTCTGCAGGGCAGGGTTTTGTCCCGCCGCGCAGGGCACGCTCGCGCTTGTGTCCCATGCATCTCTGGGAACACGTTCTGCATGGCCATGACTTGCGTCTGCAGGGGTTGCATTGGCATAAATACATATATATACACATATAGTTCAATGTGTTTTCTCACAGGTTTGCATAAAACTGTTGTTCCTCTTGGATGCCAATGCATGATTGGGTTGGCAAGCAAGCAGCGCCATACGTGATCAGAGAACAAAAGCTAGGCGTGGTAGAGAAAAAAGATTTGTTTGTGTGTGCTGATTGGTGAATGTTGTTTTCATTTCTTCCAACAAGGACTTGTAGATTGCACCATTGGCTTCCTTCGAGCGTCAAACTGCACAAGTCACAGTTTGTTTTGGAAAGATAGATGTTAAGATGTCAAAGAGATTCCTTTGATCTTTCATGACATCTTTTTATCTTACATATGTTTTCCTTCCATGTCATTTGAATTTCGCGTTCCTATACACAGAGCATGAGGCGCAAGTCACCTGTGTGTGAAGTGAGCCATGTCACTCTTGGCAGCTATAGGGCGGAAACGATATGTCAGCACATCTGCTTTGAGTGAAGTCCTAAAGGAAGTAAAAGACGCTGGACTACCAGGAGGGATTAGCAGAAGCTCTGTGAAAAGGGCTAGGGAGAGTGAGCTGGCTAGCTGGAGCAATTCAACTGCGAATGCCATCACTGAGGTGGAGTACGAATGTGTGGACGCAAAGGGAAAGAAAACTGGTACTGTGAAGCTTCCATTTGTTCACACATGGTGGTTCTTGCAGGTGTGCTGTGAGAAATGTCCGTCTTTCATCAAATACTTTGAGCAGTACCTAGCAAACCTGGGCAATTCACCAAATGATGCTCTCGAGCAACTCTGACCGTGTAGTTGTGTACTGGTTTTCTATGTTTAAGAACATGTTCACTTGAGACTTGTGCTGTGCCACTGTGAACCTGCGAAGCCAAGGCTTATTTTATACAGTGACGAGGTGAGTCCAGGTAACCAATTGCGGCATGAAGCCACTCGAAAGGTTCAGATTCTCTACTGGGGAATCAAATGTGCTCCTGGTCTCTCTGTGGACCAGCTTTGGTTCACTCTTGGACTGGCCAGATCCTCCATCGTGAGCAAATTAGCTGGGGGAATGAGTGGTTATGTCAAGAAAGCGTTGAACCTTTTCTTTGAACCTATCAATATGCATCAGGGAATCCAATTGCGAGTGGGCAGGCAAGTGCATATCAAATTTGCCAAGTTTGCGATGTTTCTCGCAGACGAAGTGAGTCTGAAGGAAGTCTATAATTTTCGTGGGGCCAGCGGCATTTTGCTTTGCCCCCTGTGTATGAACATGGTGAGCGAGTCTTCCAACCTGCACCATTATTGGGGATGGGTCATTGGTGCCGAGCACCTCTTGTGACAAGGACACTTGGGTGAGGGCTGATGATAGGACCATCTTGGCCAAGCTTCGACGCTTGAAGGAAGCCAATGGTGCAATCTCCAAGTCCTTGTTCGAAGACATGGAGAAAAAGCTAGGTTGGTCTTTTAATCCTGAAGGGATTTTGGGAGACGGGTCGAACATCCCTGAGAATGGGATCAAAGTGAACGGCGTGATTCAGTTCGACTACATGCACACACTGCTCGTCCATGGTGTTTGGAACATCGAGCTAGGTGCCTTAGTGGACAAGCTGAAGAGGGATTGCAAGATCCAACAATCAGAGCTTCACACTTTTATGGCAGATTTTCGCTGGCCCGCGAGCATTGGCAGCCAGTCAGTGACAGGCCAAAACATTTTTCGAAAGAAACAGGATGATGTCGTCAAGTGCACGGCTTCTGAAGGATTGGGAGCATATACAGTGATTCGTGCATTCCTTGCTCTGAACGAAACTTCTTTGTCAAACATCGCACTGGAGGTGCAAAGCTACATGGCTTTAGCCAGGGTCCTGGATGTGGTGTTGGCACTCAGGAAGGGAACCACAACCCCTGCTACCCTTGAGAGTTCTATCACGGCTTTCGTGAAGGCCCATCAGAGGGCATGGCACTTCAGTCTTTGGGTTCCAAAGCATCATTACCTGATGCATCTTCCTGAGATGTACCAAGAGCAAAAGGTAGTTGCAGGATGCTTTGTGCACGAACGCAAGCATAGGGTTGCCAAACGATTTTCAGAGAACATGAGACGTGTTAGCGATTCGTTTGAGACGTCCATCTTGAAAGACGTGCTGCATGTCAATCTGACTGACCTGCAAGACCAGGAGGTCAACCAACTAAATGTTGGTCTGGTCAAACCAGTGCCGGCAGATGGTTCTCTGAAGTCGCTTTTGCAAGAGCATTTGTCAACCCAAGGTTCTGTTTACCGCGCTCGGCAGGCCCACTACTGTGTTGGAGGGTCTTGTTCTGCAGGCGACTTTGTTCTCCTAGATTTGGAGGGTGGTTCCCAGGTAGGCGAAGTTCTGTTCTTTGCCTCCAGCGATGACGCTTCTGTCGTGTGTGTGAACCTTTGGGGTGCACAGGGTGGTAATGTTTTTGTGAAGACTGAGAGGCAAGCGTTGTGCGATCTAGCCTGCGTTCAAGAATGTTTGATTTACAAACACAAATCTCAGTTCAGCATTTACGTTGCCCCAAACACCATGTGGGTGTGAGGGAAGTGCTGAAAGCCACATCAGCAGTGCGCAGAGACACGCTGCATGGCAGGGTAAGACCAACCAGCTCGCTCGCCTTTGGATAAAAAAACAGCAATCTCCGGCAGGCCATTTTGTTTATTGAGAGCCCACGCCCATCTCCATCTATAGATGTGATCGCTTGGATGTTTTCATGTCCTCTTTGGGCGAGTTCACCAGAACCCTGCCATTGCAGCGAGTACCTTGACCCTGCTGTAGTGAAGTTTCAGCGAGTGCATTCACACTGTTTTTCCCCCTTCATGCTGTGTTCTAAAACAGGAAAATCATGGACACCCTGAAAGAAAAGGACTGTAGTGATTGACAAACTCTTTGGCAAGAAGGGTCTTTTGGAGACGGTGAGGTCATCCCTCTTCCCATTCTCAACTAACAAGGGTTTGTGCAATCTTCAAATCAAATAAACCCATTTGCCTTGGAACCTCTTCCTTCCGCAAAGACATATTTGTCAATATCCGGCCCCCTTCGCAGGTCCGCAGCTCCTATAACTGTGCAACTTTGGTTGACTGGGAGGGTGTGCTGAATGGATTGGGGGCGGCGTGTTTCTTTCAACACTGCAACAATGAAAACAACCAAGCTTTCGAGGATATATACATCTGGAGTTCAAAACAGCTTTGCAGTATCCAACGGACTATCGGAAAAACAACTGTTTCGAACTTAAACCCTCAAGCCAATGATCTGATCGCGGTCGGTGCGTTTTGGTGACAGGCTCAAATTTGCGTTCAGTGGAGAAAAGTTAGGAAGATGATCCCTGGAACAAGTTTGCGTTCAGTGGAGAAAAGTTGGGAAGATGATCCCAAGAATGCGTCCAGGGTATGACCTTGTTATGCTTTGCAGGCACCAGGCAAATAAAGAAGAACAATTTTGGCACAATGCGTTTTCAAGAACGCGGCGCCAAATCGCAGAAAATCTGCTTCCCAAACAAAGAAAAATCATGATTTGGCACCATCGAAACATGTTTTTTGCTCTTCCCTAAATCGACTTAGGCAACTTGTCCTAAGTCACTTAAGTGAGTTAGACTAACCCCTCTAAGTGACTTAGAGCACTCAGGCCTAAGTGACCTAAGTCCACTTAGGACACATACGCTAAGTGCTCTAAGTCGACTTCAGTAAGTGACTTATAAGTGACATATTAAGTCGAAGGTAAGTTGCGACCTAAGTCCTCTAAATGATTATAAGTATTAGTAACTGTTACTAACCAGGGCGGTCATCAAAGTAGGGGCTCCTGGCCTTACTACTAGGAACAAGAAGCTACTAGGGGCTCTTGGCATCGCTACTAGGAGCAGGGACGCTACTAGTTACTAGTACAGTATGTCTTTGAAGCTAACAATGATTGAAAACATCTTTGGACCCCTTTGCGCGCAAGCATCCTTGATAATGGTCAGGATGCTGCGAGCACACCAGGCAGGCAATTCTTGGACATTTCCAATCTTCTTCGGAAAGCCGCCCCACAAAGCCCAGTCGGATCGCCAAGAACCAAGTGCGGCGATTGGAGCAGCTGGGAGTAATAGGGTAGCTATTGTTACATGGAGAGAACAACTGCAGGTTTGGCTGTCCTGGTTCATTTTGTGACACTCCTACAAGTTAGTCACACTCCTACAAGTTCTGGTGCAATGGTCTGAACACTCTTAATAAGTCCGAGCACTATACTCACCTGAGTCCGAGTCCTGCATCTTTCGAGGCAACATCGGGTCCAGCTCGGGATCTGGCAGCTTCAAAGGTCTTCCTTGTCAAGTTTCTGTGCAGCAGGAGCTATTGGTGCTATTAGGGTGTGATGATCAGCTTGCAATTCGAAAATGTTGCACCCGGTTGGCATCCCGGCCTTCGCTTCGCAGACCTGCAAAGAACCATGGCCTTCAATCAGCTGTGGTCGATGGCTCGCACGATCGATGTAGCCACCCTTCAAGAGAAACCGGGCCTGAGGGATGTTCTCCAAGCTGTTGGGAGGTGCATAAGAGCCATTGTACACTGCTTTGCTGGCTAAACGCATGTTACCAAGAAGGCCTTTCAGATTGGAGTTTGGTGCCTTGTCACCAGCACGGCCAAGCCTCACACTTGTCAACTGAAGCTCATCAACCTCTTCAGGCATGGGAAAAATGCAGGGAAGCTCTTCAACATGAATGTAAAAACGAATAGTCTTTCCAACCAACTGACCAACTGCCAAGCCAAATGAACCCATGTCTTCAAGGGTACAACATGGCTATGGCATTGCATTGAGGTTGGGCCCATTGCCCCATTGGGCACCAGACGGGCAGAAATTGTGGCAAGGGCACCTTGGGCATTTGGACCGTTTCGGGTATCCCACACAGCACCACCGTGTTGCTGGAGGAACAGCCAGCCTTCCATTGTCCAATCTCTTCCCAGCTTGTAGCTGATGTTCTCCAAGGATAGACCCCACTCGGTCACATTGTAAGCCATCTCACCGGGATGCTTCCCTTTCGACTCTTCAAAGGACTGTGTCATGCTTGTGGAGAGGGTCAATTGTTGCAATTGCTCCCTGGCCTTCTGAAGCTCTGGAAACGCCGGCAGCTTGGATCAAGGCTTTTTGAATGCCTCTTGAGTTTCTCCAGGTGGCCGGGTTTCTGTGATAGCCTCCGAGTGTCAAATGGATACCAGTCGGGAAAAACTGCAGTTTCATGGTCATACCAGTAGGCGTTGCACTCTTCATGGCACCAGCCACCTTGATGGACAAGCCTGCCAAGGTCATAGCGGCCTGCAATGATTGACCAGCACAAACAGCTGGATTGAAGAGGTCTTTCACTTCTTCCTTGACAGTTGCAACATGCAGCTCGTTCTTGCCGAGCTGGCGTGGACCAGTGCGAGCTGCTAGAAACTCAGAAGTACTTCGCCCACTGAGCGACAGCCGGCTGCTCCAACAAACCCAAGCCAATATACTTAGCAAACATCCAGAACTGACCACGGCTGCAAAGGTGACCACTCGCGGAGAAGGATAAGCACGGCTTTGCGGTTCAGATACCAGGGGCTCACGGTCCATTCTTCGCCTTCAGTGGCTCGACTAGGCAGCACTGCATTGACGTCGAAAGTTTCTTCCAACACGTTCTGCGTCGCTTCTGGACGTATCAAAGGGGAACTATGGCAAGGACACAGGACAAACAGAATTGTGCCTTCGTGAGGCTTCCTATGTACAGAAGAACTTGGCACTGGCGAGGCACACTGAAGAACGAAATGCAGAATCTAGTGGGATGCCCTGTGACTTGGTCGCCAACTATCTCCAACTTGAGAAATAGTGCTCTTTCAATGCGCCAAGACAACTGCTGATCCTACACACACATGGAGTCTGCAGAACGGCACAGCGGGGCCCATGACGCTGTTAATGAAGTTGTGCTAGACAAGCGTTTATGGCTTGACAAAGCGCTTTTCAACAAAAAACGTATTTTTGAGCTGGATGAGTGTAAGACATGCAACATATGCAATGGCATGCAACCCAAGCTGCATCCCCTTCTCGCAGCAGGTCAAAGACAACACCTGCGGCATCGCTCTGACCGAGCAGACTGTCTCATTATTTATCAGAACGTGAGCAGGCTCTTCAAATGTTGTTGCTTGCCAGTCAAAGAAGATACAAAAAAGAATTCATCCAATTTGTCCAATAATCCCTCCTGCCTAGCAAGTGGAGATGAAAAATGAACAAGAATATGCTGAAGACAATGCCAACAAGGAGGCTCCTGACAGGGTCGATTCCTTCCAACAAACTGTTTGCGGTGTTCGTGTACCTTGTCTGAATTCGCGTGTGAAGGACAATTGCATCCATCAAACAAGACTTTTCATAGAAGGCTTTCGAAGCAGAACCCTTGCTCGTCCTGTACAATGGCGAGTCTCTCCTCAGTATGAAGCTGTGCTGCATGCATGGTCGCAGGTCTACACCATTGGTCTCTTAAAGTTTATTGCATTACAGTAGGTTTCTTTGGTGCCTCAACACAATGCTTCTGGTTGCAAGCAGGAGAGTGGGCAAATTGCCTTCAAGAACGTCAAGCATGACAACCCTTTGAAAACAACATACTGTACTATAGAAGCTGTACTTTGCTTTTGAGTGGGCTACTTGACCTCAAACTGCCCGGCAACCAAGTAAAACACAGTTTCACAATTTCTGGGCAAGCGTCAAGTGAACAAAAACCTCACACGCAAAGCCGTGGGTAGCCGAACATTGAGGGAAGCAGGCATCTCAAGAAGAAAAGGACAAGGACAAGGTTAAGAACCAAGTGGATGGGACTGGCGGTTCTTTTCCACACCTTGAACTGTCTCAAAACTGAAAGACATTGACTTCTGCTGGTTCTTCATGGTCAAGCCCTCTGAAGCCGTTGGACATTTTGAATGAGCAAAAGGCTACAAGCGATGACCCAGGTATTGTAGCTGGATGTAGCTGCTATTGTGGCTGCAGCGCTTGTGCATTGCGGTTCTGCTGAGTTGCCAAACTTTAATCTCACTTTGTGGGCCTCACATTCCTTGTATGCATGATAATTCGTGCCAGCAAGTACACCCAATCCCACCAACTGAGATGGTCATATAGTCCGTAGTCATTCATCACGGCTGTTGATTACACAAGGCCTTTGTTGCTTCGCCAAGAGAGCTCAAACAAATACGACACTCTCCATGGAAGATCACTGTCATTTTCGACAAGGAACACCTTTGATTTGTGCCATGGCGGCGTTCGGTGATCCACCTGGCGGAATACCTCTGAGCACTTCTGCTCGTGGATCCCGACGGCTGTGCAAAGGTTCCTCGGAGAGTGGGGATAAGTTGCCGGGAGAAGTATATTGGTCGGGCCTTTTCTTCAAAAACGTTTGCGGCAGTGTCGATAGCAACCATCCTCAAGAACACTTCAGACATGGATGTTAATGCTCCTAAGAATGAGGCCCGGTTTCAAGCGTCCAAGGCCACCCTGCTTTGACCTTCTGGTAAGCTTCATCTCAGCTCCATATAATATAACTATATAACTATATTAGTCAATGACATGTGTACATGGCCCCACTCTTTGTCTTTGCATTTAGGATTCTGTCTTTCTGTCATTCTTCCTCTTCTTGGACCAAGACACGATCTTCTCGAACCACTTCAAGACTAGCTTCACTGGCCGCAGCACTACTGCCTCCCCCAACAGAACTGGCACACACTACTTCCAATGAACTTTGCAGCGACTCTGCAATCAATCTCCAATCTTGACGTCCGAGTCTCAAGAGCCCAAGAGCCTTCTTAATGTTCCTTAATAAAACACCTAGCAGGATCCAGCCAGATCTAGAGCCTAGCAGCTTGGGACTGGTGACCACGATCTACAAATCAAATCATTAGTGCGAGCGTGAGCTAGTCTGCGTCCACTTACTAGAAGCTTAAGTAGCTAGGAGCTTACCCCCTCACTTATACAATTAAGTAGGCGCCTACTTAATGAAGTAGGAGCGGGCTATAAAATTACAGAAAGAAGACGTCTACTTTGACTTAGATCAAAGCCTCCGGAGAGCGTCTCATCTCGTCGGGCGTAGGCTCTCTGAGTTCATCGGCCATGTCATCGTGGCTGGGCAACGAGAAAGTCTGATCAAAGCCTCCGGAGACATCGAAACCCAAGACATACGAAAACCATCGAAAAACCATCATCTCTTAGATGATCTTAGTGGATGCGACACATGGACCCGCTGGAAGATTGTCTGACACAGGGTCATATTCTGAGCAAGAGTGAGATTTGATGCGACTTTCAGGTATGTCCGAAGGTACTGTGAATCTTTCAACCCAGTTTGCTCAACAGGGAACTGCGTTTCAAAAATGATCTTTGCATGATGCTGCAAGTGACATGCCATTTCTCACCCATGATTCATATATATATATATATTTGTGCTGTTCGCTTTGCAACTCTTAATCTTCTCAAGATTTTTCTTCTGCGCTGTGGCCCGCGCTCGTGGTGCGTCGAGCTTGGCTGGTTGCCGTCTCGGATTTCCGTTGGTAGCAGCAGGCACACCAGCGAAGGGAACCCTGACATGCACTGGAATTGAAGATGAGATCTAGACCTGCACTGTTTGTCCATGTAAAGAGTGAGATATCCATCTTGGTTCTTATTGTCGTTTCATGACGTGTTCACAAACAGCACCCCCAAGAACAGAACACACTTGCCAAAAAAGCGGGCAAGCATTCAGCATTCATAATAGAAGAACATCGTGTAATCCTGCTCGCCACTTATGCCTGTATATAGATATGCCTGTGTATAGACCTTTGCGAGTATCACGATGGTAGATGTACACTGATCGCCTCTTTGAGATACTTCTTTCAGGTTCTAGCTGCTAGCTGCTAAGGACCCAGTAGCTCAAGAAGCGGGAACCCAATCAAGGTGCCTGCACGATCTGGCTACCCAGCAGCAACGCCATCTCTGGATCATCATGTGCCGTCTGCGTGCGTGGCACGTTCATCCTGCCACTCGTTGGAATGCACAAACACCGTTGGAAAGTACATCAAAAGGGTCAGCCTGGAGGCCAGCCTGGAGTTAAGCTTCCACTGGGTCTGATCAACATATTCAACATGAAAGACATCGGACATAAATAGCCAAACTAGGAACAACAATCGGAAACAATAAAACCAAAAAGCTATCTAGTTTTTATTTTTTTAAATAAACTATATACGTCTACATGTTTCCTATATTGTTCCATGCTTTAAAGTTTGTTCAATCCAAATTTGCGCAGTTTTTGTTCTAAAGGCAAATTTAGCAAAACCATCAAAAAATAGGACCAATAGCACACCCATAGGACAAATTTGAAAAATAGGGACACATAGGAACAACATAGGACAACAAATCGGAAAAAATAGGAGCAACCATGGGACCAAAAACATGTCCTCTTTTTCATATGTTTTGCTCCATTTGTTCATGTTTGTTTTCCCTATTTTCCTGATGTTGGTTGGTTCTATTTATTTTCTATTTGTGTCATTCTTTGTTTAATTTTACAATTTTACAATTTCCAATGCCAAACTTCATTCAGCTCATCATAATCTTAGCATCTCTTGTGTGGTTGTGAAGTCGAATAGTCAAATAGAGAGACATGTTTGACCCTGAACAGAATTTCCAGCGGACGGACGGACGGATGGATGCATGAATCCTGCCTGGCTGTGCTCGTCAGAAAAGGAATACATGACATGCCGGTAAAAAGGTGTACCCCGATCAAAATGACTGCCTGGATGCCCTAAATTGAAGTCCTGGAACATTTTTCTTTAATGTTTTGCACTGTGCTCTGAGCCTGCCTCCCTTTGCTATTGCTGGTCACCGTCAGCAGCTCCGTCATGCCTGATCGGTGAAAGTGCTGCCATCCCCGGACCAATAAGAGTTGGAAGAACTGAAACCAAGGTTTCATGGAAGTCTTAGCAGGAAAAAACTGAAAGGTCCGTTTCGGTCTCTCCTGGTATCCCAAGGTAGTGAAGTACCACTTTCTCAGCCAAGCCCAAGATGTCAATGTTGGGTTTGAGTTTGATCTTCAAGATTCAAGACGAATAAAGTGTTTGGCTCTTCGCATAAGTTCTGCCCCATCCCAATTGTCTGAAAACATCACACTACTTTACTTCAGGCGATCCCCACCATGACATTTCAATGATTTGTTTTCATGCTATGGTGAGGAGCATGTTGCCATCGTCATGAGCTTTGTGGTTTTCGATTTTTTTGTGGGTCCTTGGGTTTGGAGTCGTTACTGTATTCTAGTGTTAGGGAGTTCGCGTCGGGGTGTCGCCAGGGTCTCCAATTGCAAAAGTGCTGCTACCCTCCGACCACGTGCCACGCAAAATGCCACACACAGGCGTAGTTGTATTGTCGTGGCTGTGTGTTTGGTGTTTGTGACAGTGCTTGTGGTTGTGTGTTGGCGGCTGTGTTTGTGGTTGTACGTTTGTGGTTGTATTTGTGGCTTGTGTGTTTGTGGTTGTTTGTGGTTGTGTTTGTGATTGTGTGTTTGTGGTTGCTGGTTGTGCATTGTTGAGGTCCAGTACTGCCCACTGCGATCTGGCACTTGCGGTTCAGGTTTGGTAGTGCCTACTGTGACTGGCGCTTGCGGTTGAGGTCGGGCAGTGCCCACTGCAATCGGGAGCTGGCGGTTGAGGTGGCGAGGAGGAGGAGGAGGCGGAAGGAGGGGGAGAGCTCTGATAAAATCTAACAACCCTCACCTCGCAGGTGGGGAATTCATATCTCTTTGCCCAAGCTTCTGGTGTGGCGTTGCTGTTGCAAGGTGTCCTCTAAGAACCATGCCTTGCGTGGTAAAGTCAAATCTATGGCGAGACGCAGTGTGAGTGTTCAGCTTAGACGCATCAATCCTACTTGCTTGTCCTAGGCTTTAGGACTTCGACTGACGCAACTGCTTTGTTTGCACAGAATTTTCAAAGTCGCTATGAAACAGCATCAAAGCCAAGCAGATGCAAAATCAAAGGAAGTTACAAGTTGAAGCTAACTATGAGCAGCTTCTTCAAGAACTTCTTGATCTGGCTTATTAAATATGTGATATGTGGTCTATGCCTTGGAAATGCTTGGCAACGAAGCGCCTTCCCTGAAAGCCGTATCAGCTTCTGGAAGTGATCAATGGCAGGTTTCCGCAACTGATGTAAGTGGTGAGCCTCAGTCGGGCATGTGGCTCTGGAACGCTGAAACATGTGGTTCTAACGGTTGCTGAAGCTGACCAAGTCATACTCCTTTCTCTCCATGCTATCGCATCGTCTTCGCCACTGTGGCATTTTACCAAAGGCCAAGCGGCCAAAGCATATTAAAAGATGTTAGAAGCAGCTGGCGCAAAGCCAGAACACCATGTATCTGCACATGAGCCTTGCAAAGGACACTTGCGACTTTTGATTCTGATCTGCATTCATCAGCCTACAAAAGAATATCTTTTCCATGAAGAAACCATGAAGGTGCATGCAACCAAAACCAATCAATATGTGTCTGTGAACATTACTTTGTTGTGTGGATCCTTCTCGCGACAAGGATATGTTCCCCCATCCCAGTGATGCAGGTTGTTTCAGTGGGCGGACCACCACGGATGTCAACCCACTCGGTTCAATCGCCAGACCAAAACAAATCGTCTCAGGCAAAATCTGTCTCACTGGTTGAGAGGCTTGGTGTTCCAGCACTGCTGCCTCCATTCGACGTAACAACTGCGCACGCACTTCTATGTCGGGAGTGTCAGGGACAGTTGAGGCATGTAAAGGAAACTGCTGTCAGGCGATTGGACACTAAGTGCCCTTCCAAACATTTCCAACCATGAAAGAACTGACACAGCTAGTTCCCGACATGATTGGCCTCTGAAGTGGCCATTCTATCTACTGAATTCACTGATTTGTCATCCTGGCTGATATGAACATCTTAGCAACGTGAGCGCTTTATCAGCTAATTAAGAGCATTGACCATCATTGACCTGCATTATAGTGAGTCAGCCAGGTGACGAATGTATTGTTCTGGACAAGTTCCCAGTGCTCTTTTGAGACCTTTCGGACTTTGATGCACCCGGGCTGTCTGGCTTCCAAGGTCTCTAAGTTATTGCCAAGAAACAACAACTCGACGTGCTGATCAACTACTGACACTGGCACGTCTTGGCCAAGGCGCCGGCTTGCGCCAGCTTGTGGGCATGGCTTCATAGAACTCAGGATATCATAGAACATGGACAATGTGCAGGGCAGCCTATTTGCAACCACACCCAACTAGCATGTCTAGGCAGCTAGGCACATTCTGCATTGTAGACACGTTTTCAATCAGCCGATAACAACCACCTTATTTCGAGTCAACAAGACTATTGGTAGGTTCGAGGGGCGCATCAAACATGCGCTCGTCAATCCCATGGCAACAATCATCCTCAAACTCAGCACAAAGCTTGCATAAATTGATGTGGAATTTCTGGAACTGGAGCTATTGCGTTGAATTCCATTTTCCAACATATATTGGACAAAGGATTTTATACGACTTTGCCAATATCTGACTGTTCGGTCGACTAAAACAGTCACTCTCAGATCCTGAGTGTCTTACCCCTTCCATTTGGAAGAGAAAGCCGGAACATACAGGAACATATCCAAACACTGAGAAATGTGGAAGTGATCAGGGCTTCCCTGAGCTCACCAACTCCCTCTTCGGAAGGTTCCCTGTGTTGAAACGATCAGGGCCCCAGGAAGTGGCTTTGTAGCTGTACAGCCAAACAGTGCAGCAACAACGTGCAGGAAACGAAGACCTGAAACTCTGAAACATACGTATGGCCCATGGCAGAAGATGTGGGATCATCCAAACCCACGAAAGAAACCACTATTGTCTTTTACCTGCATGTCCCTGGGTCTGACCTCTTTATGTCCAAGCTCTTCAGGGTGGCCAAGGCTGGGACGAGATGGGAGGCACAGCGGAAAATCCCAGTCCTCAATCGCACTGGCAAATCAGCTTGAACTTGGCCTTGTGTGGAAAATTGCCAGCATCATGAGGGCTCTCAGATCTTGAATTCGTTTGTGTATTCGATGTGGATTATGTATTCACAGTGGATCGAAGTCATCACTTGAGATTGGAGCCCTGAAAGTTCAAAGCTCCAGTTTGAAAACCAATGGTTCCGGCCATTGCTGCTGTGAAGTAGATGAACTTCTGCACAAGGCCAACGGTGACGCAGGTATCCCATACCTCTTTTGGTGCTACGAGTACCCAGGTTGAGTGCTGAGAGTTTGCTTTGCCTCCAAGGACAAATGAGAATAACATAGGAAACATGACTTGGAATATAGAAATCCCAGATGCAAAGAACCCGCACTCACTCAATGACAGGAACATTGCCAAACCCATGTAGTCTGCATCCTCCTCCTCATTCTCCACTTTGCATAGGGTGACTAGAGAAGGCAAACAATTGCATGCTGTGGTGGTTGATGCGTGCGTCCACAGCACACCTTCCGGCCATCTATCGTTTGAGTCAAGACGTGGTCAGCGGTTTTCGAAACATTTTCTGGTAGACATGAGCATCTAGAGCATCTAGGAACTTCTTTATTTAATCTGCCTATATCATCCTATATCCATACATATTGCTGTGGCAGTCTGAGCAATGGTGGAGCCGCCCCGGGCATGAGTCCTGATAAAGACTCCTGTGACTCCCGACTGTCGCACATGCTCACCTTATACATCTGGCTACCTGCAGGCCTTGCAATTCTTAACCCCTTTCTGGAACATGGACCCAGGACACATTTGCTGGCAATCCGTCAGGTCGCAGTCGCCTGGCACCACAAGAGCCAACGAGATCGAGGCCAAGATCTCCTCTCCTCTTCCTTGTGTCAAATCATAAAGCCCAGCGAAGATCAGCATGACCATAATCGAGCCCAAGACTGCAAAACAGCGCTCAAAGGTCCTGGAGGTCTTGCGGAACAGGCCACTGATGCAGCGCCAGTCATTCTTGGATTCCAAGCAAGACGCATCACCCTGCAACAAGCAGGCACTCCAGGAATTCACAATGAGGAGCATGGCATGGGAAGTGCGCACCTGGTTGGCGATCTATGTGACCCGGTGGATTCTGGCAAAAAGAACGGCGAAGAAAAACTCTGTTAGCAACGGTTTGACTGTTTGATGTGAGAGAGAGGGAAGCGAGGAGCGATCAAGCATACATACGAATGTCCGGAACAATATCTTCGATGTTCGGAATGAATCGCTCGAATTCGAGCAGTGTATACGTATAGTAAATATATATATATATGTATGTATACACCCATATTTGGCAACAAGCGTGCCTGCCAGAAACAAGCAACCACAAGCACACCTGTACTGATGGTGTATTTCAGACCAAAGAAGAAAGCACACAGCGTGCCGTCAAGCCCTTCCATCTCGGAGGCATGTGCTGCTTAGAGGCTGAAGCGACCAATGATAAGTACAAACCACAGCGAAAGAGCCCACAGCGCATCCTTTCGTCTCAGGGTGACAACATCAAACAAATTGTTTATCCAACTTACACGGCCTACATATCTTGACGCTGCATTTCCACATGTTCGTGAGGATTTGGAGAAGAACCAGTGTGTGCCCAGGATTGCGGAGATCACATGCAACCGTGTACCACAAAACAAGTGAAACTAGATTCCGCAGTGATGGGATAATATCCACAGGAGGACACCCGTTTCTTTTGATCCTTGCACCACCAGCTGACTGGTGTTTGTATAGGAGGGAACAAGGGAATGCATCCAAAGGAATCTCTAGTGAAGGGTCAGCCATGGACTCACAAAACCACCTGAGCTCTTCCACGCAAAGCATCTGAGCAACTCCAGCTCTTCCACGCATCATCCAAGAGATTTTGTTCACAATAGGAAGAAAGCTCCTCCGTGCTTTGTGCCACAAGCTGCGTGGTGTCCTGGAGCAAAACCGCTGAATCCATAATACCAGCAACGGCTTCAACACTACACTCTCAAACCTTCGAACATCAGCCATCACAACTCCTTGTAGCTCCAAAATCCACCTAAGCTCATCAGAACCAAGCAAGCTCCCAGCAGCAGTATCATGTCTGTTGCCAAAGGAGGCCATGGACCCAAACATGTTTTTGGAGGTGCAACGGTATCTGCCTCTGCGTGTCAAACGCTCAGCTCATAGGTTCCTATCACGATGCCATGAAGAAGGTATGAAATCAGCAACCAGTGATAGAGGCGTGACGCCCAATGCTTCCATCGGCCGCAGCAACCATCAGTGCCCTCTTGGAACAAGGGCAGTAAACCCAAAGCCTTGGAGAGGTGTCGCGCAAACAAGGTGTTCACTGGATGAAGCTTCAGCCACAAGGATCTTGCTACCAAATGAAGCCCGGCTTCGTCCACTTCGCCTTGACTGCTCGACTCCTCCAAGTCGACTTTGCCTTTGTCTCTGGGAGACAAATCTGCAGTGAGCTGCATCTCCCGCACCTTGAAGACTTCCGTGAGTTTTGCCCTTGACACGGCAAGAGACAAGTCAATGCTTGAACGTCTGTTCTTGCCTTCTCTTCCCCAGCTAGGCTTTGAGCCACTGGAGAAATTCTTGTTCACACTCTCTGTGGCTTTCACCTCGCTGCCTTCAGCCATCGAGGCTGATGGGTTGGTGTCCTTTGCCTCCATCCCTCCCAAAGCACCAGGAACCTCCGGCAGCACAGGCAACGGCATCGAAGCGGGGTCCTGACAAAACCAACAGACGAGGTCGACAGTCGACAAACACATGAAGGGGCAAACTCAGAGACTCAACCAAATCATCGTATTGGCACGTCTGTCCTCATGTTCCTTTGCTTTCACGCGCCCTCTCCCTGTTGCCCAGGGTTGTGCACTCAGCTTCGTCCCTTGGTGTACCGCTACTGAGACTGGCACCAGTTTTGTGATGTCCATTTGCAAAGCTTGCATGGCGGCACTTTGGTTGGCCTCTTGCTCAGGGACAGCGGGAAGCAACTGTTCAAATCCAAATCTGAAAAACACACATGACTGTACATAAATGAACGTAGTGACTTGGTACAGTACCCCAACAAAGGCTCGTGTGTGGCAGGACAGAAAGGACAAACTCAATCAAATACAGGAAGGGTTTTCAATCCATCTCATCCTTATGTCACCCAAAAAATGTGGTTTCTTCATCCTCTTTCTTTTCTGCTCTGTCCCATTCTGCCCTCTTACAAAAGTAGTATTTTTTTAAATCACAATCTTTGTGTGATCGACCTGTAAGAATATTTCACGGAAAGGCTGCCGACCTGGCATCTGCGGGTGTTTCCTGATGTAGAGCGCCATGGTGCTTCAGAGCTTGCGGAGTGATCGGACTCCGATGAATCTCGTTTGCGAATGTCAGAAGTCTTGCTGTGCACGTGCACACCTGGGCGTTCGGAAGAAGTATTCCCAAGCTTCCGTGTGACCAGGTCGTTTTTCCCGAGCTAACTGGAAACTTGGCGCTTCAGCAAATCTTACTTGGTTTGCTTCTAATAACCAGGCCGCGCCAATCTCTGATCGCAAGTCTTCTCCTGGAACTCCGGAACCCTCTGGCACTGGAGCCAGGCCCAGAACGCATTCTCGAGCCGTCCCCTGATCCCATCAACCTTGCTTGGCCCCACTACCCCACTCCACTGGGTCTATATGCCAATGAAGTTTGTCAAAGCTTTAGCCAAAGTAATGCAAAGGACGTCCACGTACTTGGCCATCGTGTTTTTTTTGTTTGTGTGTGTGTCCCACCCTGTGCAAAAGGGTCCCACTCGATTCAGATTCCATTCAAGCAGGGGGATGGAGAGGGCATATGAGGCTCCATGCAACGAAGTTCCTCATATGACCCTAGGACATCAGCAAGGACGCTTGCTGACGTACCTGCACTGTGACATCACCCTACTCTTCTCGCGGTTCTTTAATTCCATGGTAGTTCATGTGCATGACTCCGCACCCTTCCGCTCGTTTTGCAGCCGCCGAGTCGTTTTTGAGTCACCGCTGAAGCCGCTGACTGCACTTGTTGAAACATCTTCAAGTATACTGAACTTTCACCTCGCTGTTCACTATTCATGCCCTAACTCTAGAGTCAAGGGCCCTGCACCGCGGCGGACCACCTTGTGGATTATCGTTTGGAATGAAACTCTATCGAAGTGTGTTCTGCTACGCTTTCCCACTTGGGTGCGTAGTGTGATCCCCGCAAGGGGCGCTGAGACCATCGGGATTATGATTGCTTGCATATATTTTTATACCCCACAGATTTCCGACGAAAAAAGGGACTTGCACGGATCAATCGATTCACAAGCCCCCGGGCCTACGGAGAATGAACCCCACCCCCCCCCCCCCCCCCTTCTTTCTTGCAGTTTCTTGTTTTGCTAGGTGTTACTTCAGGCTTGTTAGGTTGCTCTTGAGGCTCGTTTCCCTGCCCCTCGGTTTCGTTTCTTTCTCTCCTGCTTTTTCGTTTCTCTTTCTAGGTTTGCCTTTTGGCTACAGGCGTTTTAGGTATGTATGTAACCAGGCCTCTTTAAGTCAAGTGCTAAGATGTGCTAAGTATATATTCGTTTTCCAGTCAAGAGTCAAGGGCTAAGTACTCACTTTTCTCGAACCTAAGTAGTTCTTAAGCTGTCTACTGCGTTTCTACCTTCTTAACGCAAGTGCGCGATGCAGTGCGGCGCTCTGTGTATGTCCCACCCTGTACCAAAGGGTCCCACTCGATTCAGATTCCATTTTAGCAGGGGGATGCAGAAGGCATATGAGGCTCCATGCAACAAAGCTCCTCGTACAAGCCTAGGATATCAGCAAGGACGCTTGCTGACGCACCTGCACTGTGACATCACCCTACTCTTCTCGCGGTTCTTTAATTCCATGGTAGTTCATGTGCATGACTCCGCAGCCTTCCGCCCGTTTTGCAGCCGCCGAGTCGTTTTTGAGTCACCGCTGAAGCCGCTGACTGCACTTGTGGAAACATCTTCAAGTATACTGAACTTTCACCTCGCTGTTCACTCTTCATGCCCTAACTCTAGAGTCAAGGGCCTTGCACAGCGGACCACCTTGTGGATTATCGTTCGGAATGAAACTCTATCGAAGTGTGTGTTGGTTGACTGCTCAAAGGCTTTTGTACGCCATACCATGATGTCATAGCTGTCATAGCTCTTTGCGCTACACTCCAGGAATAAGCAACAACGAGATTCACTAATTATCCAACACCACTGCAGGATCTTTACGACTTGTCAATTTAATTTACGCGTTCCAGATGTCCAGACCAGACACTCTTGCTCAGTTTCTCCACTTTGTCTGCCAGGGAATAATGCAACTCGTGCATGGCCTCTGGGAATCCGCGCTTAACACACCATCAACAAAGTGTTCTCGCGAACTGATAGTAGTTGATCTTACTCATTCAAGCACTTGATTGAGCTAGGTCTTTACACTATGAGAACCACATGGGATTCATGAACGGCCTGCAAGAGCTCCGAATTCGTCACATGGTCATAATCAACCTGTGGTGGATCCTTGCTGGAGGTGAAGAGCTCCAACGAGAATTGGGGCTGCAAGATCGGCGGCTCCGCAGAGGGGGGTGAGGCCATGGATCCGGAGGCCTATACTGAGGGCTCGTTGATGCCTCTCAAGATGAAACAGGCGTTTCCAAAATACATAGAGAAGCACATCTCCTCTAAAACTGCATTGGACACTGTCGTTATCGTCTTGAGGACCTCTACATGTACTATGGTTAAACATAGATATGTTTTTGACCCCAAAAATGCTGCGGCGCAAGTTTGGACATCTGTTACGCAGCCGACTCTCACGACAAACGAAGAAATGAACACATCCAAAATAAGCAAGGAGGATGCACTCACTACACATTTGGCCTTCACCTCTCGGTGCATGTCCACGTGATCGTATTGAGAGGCCGTGTAAAATCTCGCAGTTTCTTCATTGGTCAAGTGCTAGCATGGTTCAACAAATGGGCGAGTGGCACTGCATGTACAAACTTCATGTGTGGGTCCGAAAAAGACACTCAATGTTAATCCATTATCCCGGCAAGAGACCCCAAACAGTGTTTGTGAGGTCTTTAAGCAAAAAGTCTAGAGATCTAGACGCATTGGGGTCCAGAGAGGTGATGGTGGCGATGAAGGTGGGGATCGTGGTGACGGTGGCGATGGTGGTGAGTGAGTGAGTGAGTGAGTGTGAGTGTGAGCGTGAGTGAGAGTGAAAGTGAGAGTGCGAGTGGTGAGTGAGAGTGAGAGCAAGAGTGAGAGTGGGTGAGTGAGTGAGAGTGAGAGTGAGTGTGAGTGTGAGAGTGTGTATGAGAGTGAGTGAGTGAGAGTGAGAGTGTGAGGGAGTGTGAGTGAGAGTGAAGGTGGGCGAGTGTGAGCGAGAGTGAGAGTGAGTGAGAGTGAAGGTGGGTGAGTGGAGTGAGAGTGAGAGTGAGTGTGAGAGTGAGTGTGAGTGAGGGTGTGTGAGTGCGAGTGTGAGTGAGAGTGAGTGTGAGTGTGAATGTGAGTGTGAGTGAGTGTGAGTGTGAGTGACGGGTGAGTGTGGATGTGAGCGTGTGTGAGTGAGTGAGAGTGAGAGTGAGGAAGTGAGAGAGTGAGCATCTGAGAGCACAAAGTGTTGCGCCTGCTACGAAATCTTCACATCGAGGTTCACAAAGTGCTGTACTTGCCACGAAATCTGCACTTCGAGATTCACAAAGTGCTGCGCCTGCCACGAAATCTGCACTTCGAGGTGCACCCAGTGCTGTGCCTGCCAGGCAATCTGCACTTCGAGGTTCACCAAAAGCGCTCTGCCGCGAAATCTGCACTTCGAGGTTCACCAAGCGCTGTGCCTGCCACGAAATCTGCACTTCGAGGTTCACCAAGTGCTTTGCCTGCCACGAAATCTGCACTTCGAGGTTCACAAAGTGCTGTGCCTGCCACGAAATCTGCACTTCGAGGTTCACCAGGTGCTGTGCCTGCCACGAAATCTGCACTTCGAGGTTCAACAAGTGCTGTGCCTGCCATGAAATCTGCACTTCGAGGTTCACCAAGTGCTGTGTGTGCCACGAAATCTGCACTTCGAGGTTCAGCAAGTGCTGTGCCTGCCATGAAATCTGCACTTCGAGGGCCTGTCACGAACTCTGCGCGTCGAGGTTCACAAAGTGCTGTGCCTGTCACGACATCTGCACATCGAGGTCCACAAAGTGCTGCGCCTGTCACGAAGTCTGCAAACGAGCCACATGTCCAAAAGTCACGATTCACTGCACCTGTCACGAAATCTGCCAAAGTGCTGCACCTGCCACGAAAACTGCAGTTCGAAGTAAAGCACCTACGATCCCTTGCACCTGTCACGAAAAGTCGACTTTGAAGCACCAAAACACGAGGTTTCCCTTGCAAAGTGACCACCATGTACCAAAATGCGCACCGGCACCACAACGAGAGCGCAGTCGCTAGAAGCACCCGCCGCGGCCACCCAGACTTTGCGAGCCTGCGCAGTTGAAATGCACATTGACGATGTCGAGAGGCATGAATGTACTGTAAATAGCAACGAATTAGCCGGACACGGCCGCGTGCTTCAGCGATCTAAGCATCAGCTGCTTTTCCATTACCGTAAGAACCTCTAGAGTCCCCACACTGTTTGGGGAATTTTCCACAAACCATGCAGTCTCTGACAGTCTCTTTTACTCTTGTAATCAGTCTGGCGACTTTCAGTGGGTGCAAGTCTGGCAACAAGCGGTCTGTTTCTAGCGATTTCAAGTCATTTCCAGTGTGTGCGTGTGTGATCCATGGTTATTTGCTGTAGCTGCGGCTCTCTGTGGTATATACTTTCGAATTACCCTGGTGCTATCAGCCAGCTCACTCAGTTATTACTCATGATGGCCGTGCGCTATTGCACAAATGCTCCCCTCGTGATTCCTCCTGCCACACAACGGTAACATGATGAACTGGCCAAGCGATGCGTGTTACGACTCATTTTGGTACCCTAGTATTGTTCCACCGGCAATTTCTAACTAACCACTCTGCCACCTATTGTCTCATGTCAAGACCGCAGTCGGAGAACACGGATTTTGGATGATTTTGGACACACTGAACACACTGAACAAAGGTTATCACTGAGCAAAGCACCATGAGTTCTGCCAACCGACTGTACAGTTCATCGACCTCAGAGGTCCAGGATGCTTCCAGCCTCTACAAACAATTTTGTCGCAGTCAACTTTGTCGATCAAACGCTGCATCTGTCTAAGTCTAGAGACAATGATCTAGTGTAGAAAAACTAGGCAAACTGTGCAGTGCAGGGAAACCCAGCGGGGGAATCTTTGCAGAAAAATAATCAACGTTGTAATATGATTAACTGAGAGCTTTCGGCGTGAAGAAGGGTTTGCGGGGCCAAACAGAAGACTGTAGCAGCTAGCAAACTATGTCCGAAAGCTTCACATAGTAGTTAGGTTGCCAAATGCAAAGGGAGTGGAGTGAACCCCCAGAGCTATTGAACCAGCGGTGAAAAGGAATGCAATGCCAATGGCATTGCCAACAGCACTGACCTTTTTGGGCATTGCCAAGTGGCATCTTTGCTGTCAGACTTTTCGGCCTGCTTCTCCACTTCTTCTAATATGCGCTGCATGCGGCGGACATGCTCACCCACCTGGTGTACAGCTTGTGAGATCTTGACTTCATGGCCAACTCGCTTCTGCCACCGGCCACCAGATTCTGAACATTGCACTAGTAATGATATATATATATATATCTATTATATACAAATATTATATATATATTATTCTATATTATGTGTGTTTGTGCGTGTCTGATCTTCTCGAAACTCTAGGAACTGTCTCTTACAGCGAAGTGGTTTTACTGTTTCCCTACTACCTCCCTGCTCCTCCTCCCAGAGTTTACCCCTCTAGCCTCTGTCCTTAAAGGAATGAGACGAGTATTCAGGCCTTCTCATCCAGCTGAGCTGAGAGCATGCCACACAGTGTCTGGGCCTGTTGACGTTGACGGGACAGGAGACCCAGCCCTGAACATTTACATTTGTGGCCCATGGCAAAATACACTGAGTTGTCTTGGGCAGAGAGTAATCCCACTGAGACCGGTGAGGGTGATCTTGTCTCGCACTTATCAATTCGTTGTTTCTCCGTCCTGAGTAGTGGCACGGAGCAGGACCTCTCCAACCTGCTTGGTCATCTCATCGAGGTATCGCTCCTTGCGCAACTCAACCATGTCGTCTTTGTCAACCAAGTTCTAAGACTTAAGACTCCAAGATTCTAGTCTCGAATTGTTCAAGCCCCTGTCAAGTCTTATAACTTATAGCCCACAGTCCCATCGAAGAACGAAGACCCAACTACAACTTCACCACACTAGTCTCTTCAAAGCAGAAGGCCGGAGCAGTCAAGTCATGGCATGGCAACTGTGCAGCCTCCTCCTGATAATCCCTGCAACATGCTGCAAGGTACAGTTGAGCAAAGGTGTAATTATAAAGGTATGACAACGTGGCCATCATGACACTGCTTGGCTGAAAGACTCAGGGATGGCCATCCAATGAGTCGTAAGACTCACAACATTTTTTGCAATCCAGGCCATGGCTTTTGTTGGATCCAGGCCATGTTGCTCTTTTGTGCCGTGACTCTGCCTCCCTGGTCTGCTTGGTCTGTCCTTGCGGCGCTGCAAGCAGTCACCATCCTCATCGTAGTATGCCAGGCAAACCATGGAATGACGAAACATCAATAGCCTCAGGGTGGCGCTTATGTTGTAAATCCTACTGGACACCTTTTGCTTAAGCTGAAAGCTGGCAAAAGAAGGTGTTCAAGGTGGGGAGTAAGGCAAAATTGCACGCATCTCGCAGGAGTATACGTGCACGCACACACACACAATCGGGAAAATGCTTACGGTACTGATTTGAGGTTTGCCACTTGCCAGCCCAAGTAAAAACCTAAGAGACCAGGTAAAACAAGAGCAGGTTGGAGGCCATCGCGTCTAGGTTGGTGGCCGTCACATCTAGGTGGCAGGCCCTCGCAACGGGTTGGAGGCCATCGCTAGTAGGTTGGTTGCGTGCAAAAAGACGCGAGGAGAGAAGTCTTGTTCTAGGCTTGCGCGGGACCAAGGAGAAAGTAATAGGTGATCATCCGCTCGCAGATACGTGCAATCTGCGTCCAGATTGCGTATCAAATATCAAAGCAAACTTGCAGTGTCTTCGTTGAGTGGTGACTTCAAGAATGCCCACCGCTCCCCTGCTTATGAGTAAGCCAAAAGGTTCTTTTGATTCGAAGGGTTTCACACACACACACCACATGCTACATTACATGCACATCATAGCTTTTGCAGCACGTTGGCTAGGTATGTTCGATCCGTAAAACATCGTAAAACCGAATACAAATGCCAAGTGACAGCATCACACCACCAACTGCCTGGCATTCCAAAAACAGTAGCTCTTAACAAGAGTGCTCCCCGAAACCTCAACTCAGTCTTCCAACCCAGTCTCGACTTGAATTCTGAGTGGCGCTGAACCTGAAAAACAGTGAGGCAGAAGTCTGCAAAACATAATTTCTCAAAACATGGTCGTGAGCAGCAACGATGCTTCTCCCCATCTGCCTTGACCAAACAGGCGTACTTGCCCACGCCCTCATCCGCCCAGGGTGAATGCCTTGCTCCAAGCTCCGTCACAACAGGACATTGATATTCAAATATATCAAATGTGTGAGTATCTGGAAGTACCACACATGCCCTCTGTGGGCCAGAGGCGCTGTAACGCATTCCAACCTGTGTAAACGTGGGCAAGGGACTCATTTGCGACACCAAATCTGACTCATTTGCGACACCACCACCCCCCTGTATTCCTCTCATGTACGACACCAAATCTCTCTCATTCGCGGCACAGACACATACACACATATGATTGCAAGCATTAGGTTGGGTGGGACATTAGGTTGGGGTGGGGCATTAGGTTGGGTGGGGGGGGGGGGGGGGG